GTTCATGCATCTAAGGCGTATCAGCGAATACACGAGACATTTTCTTTAGTAATGCTCTGTATAGTCCTCTATGCGTATTTGTGAAAAGATAAAAATACTTATCAGGATATTAAATGCTGTGACAAGTTGGTAATTCGTGTTTTTGGTGTAAGAAGTGCTGGAGGATTCTGTGCTTTTTCGAACGTATTTTTACTCGTCCAACATATACGATTTTTTAAAGTTTTGAAGCTACTTGTCGATGCTAAAAACATAGACAACGTTCATAGATCAAGTCACACATAAATATGTATATTTTTAAAATGAATAATATATAAGACTTGATTATAGAAATTTCCTTTGCAACCCAACAGCATGACAGCAATTGCGTAAAATCAGGTGCTGGTCCAGATTGTGCCTAAAGAGACGCATAAAATTATTAAATAAACGCACCTTAAAAAATACTGACATGAGATTATCAGAATTTTTTTCTTTGAGTATATGATGTTAAACAATCATATATTAATATCACCTTGTATTTATATTATATTTTTAAAATGGTCTTTTAAAGTAAATATTTAATAATACTTTTCATTTCGTACTAAAACACTTCAAGGACCGGGGGCAGGGGTGAATTACTAATGAAGTCGGCTAAGTAAGACAATTTTTCGCTAATTATATGAATAATTGAGATCAGTAAAAAATATACTTCATAAATACGTAAACATCGATACACAAAAATAATAAATATATAAGGTTTTTATAAAGTGCGCCATACTTTTTTTAAGTTGCAGCTAAAACTTTAGATGAAAGTTATTTTGAAGTAGATACATATGTATATGTTGGATTTATCGCTTAACATTAAATTTGCAAATTCAAAGCTTATAGTTTCATTTTCATATTTGTTTGGGTCACATACGTTCAATATTTCAATATTATTTCGGGTTCCATAACGTTATCATGATCAGGGGCCCTACAAATATTAATTCGCCTTTCCACGAACGTGTAAACGCTCCCAGATTCCTCCAACTACAAACTCTACATGTTAGACCTCCCACCAACACTCACAATCCCAACGCTACATCTGAGAACTTCCGTCACACCAATACTCACAATCTCAATCCTACAAGTGAGACCTTCCACCAACACCCACAATCCCAACGCTACATGTGAGAACTCCCACCAACACCCAGAATCCCAATCTCTTGTGGTCGATACACTAATCTCACTGAGCGCAAGTAAACAATAGCAGCGGCGCAAAGCCACATTCCCTCCGCGATGAGGTTACGACTTGAACGTGATTCCCACCAAAGAGCGCTGCATTCGCCCGAAAAAATAAAAAAAAGACGCATCTCGCGCGCAACCGGTCACACGAGTCCTATAAGACCTCTAAAACGATCTCATTTCGAATCGCCTTGCCTGCGGCTGTGCCTTTTTGCCGCCCGCCCGCGACCGCGACCGGTCTGGTGCCTTATCCCGCCACCACCCGCACCACTCCGCACCACTCCGCACCACTCCGCACCCTCGGGGCTCCTGCACCCTGCGGTGTCCCTTCAGCTCGGTCGAGCACGTGCCCTAAGCAAACATTTCGATTTGATGGGAATGGCAGGCGAATCCCTTTTCTGTTTCTCCACCTACAACCGATTTGATTTATTCCTGAAGTTATGTCATGTTGTTGTTGTTGTATTATTATTATTATTATTATTATAGACTACTTAGATCCCATTAAGGACTAAGACCTCCCGCTTCACGCGGGTTGAAAGATTTCGTTGCTTCCTCTAGTTTAAATTAACAAATTGTTTTCCAATAAGACGCGATGCAGAAATTCAATTGATTTGTGGATTGTAGATGGCGAGAAAACGAAGTACTTTTTTTGACCTGAAGAAGGCTGGCTCAAAAATGCAGAAACATTCACATTTTATGACGTATAAATTAATTGTATTGGTGTAACTCTACGCCAACCAAAGAACGATTCAAATAAAAGACGTAACAATTTATTTTGGTACACAAAATTTGAATTATAATTTACCCTTATTTACGGGATGAAAATGCAACGAAAAGGAAATGTAAATCGTCTTCATACAAGGTTTAACTTCAATAGGCCTGTCTAGAGAAGCTCCGACCTTTTCTATATCATGAAAACTTGTCACACAAATTGAAACTGGCATTTATTAGAAAACGGGGAAGATAAAGAGAGGGTCAGGGAAGAGAAACCTCAGTGGGGGAGACAAGGAGAGCTAGTGTGACAGCTCCAGAGAAATAATTGGACAGCAGGAGAAAGAAGATCAAAAAATTCTTGGGGAAGTTGCGACACACACCGTCGCAGGATTATATCTACACAGTTTGTAGCGTAATAAATTGAAGTTTTGTAGCGTGGCGTTTCAAACAAATTGCCGTGCCTTTGCCTACGATAAGATAATAGCCGTTGTTTACACTTCGACATTAGATTAAAAAATATTGGAACAAAAAATTTTAACTTGAAACAGACATATCTGTTGTAATTGAATATAATTTTTTCTATTATGTACGGATTTTTCACATATTGTGTCTTTAGCTTTCAACCTGTTCATTGAATCGAGGTCTTAAGCAACTAAACAGTTACGGGTAAATGAATGATGATATGAAAGTTATTATGGGACGTATGATGTTCACGTCATCATCTGCCGAAAATTTCCGTCCTAGGCGAACATCGAATTCACATACTTTCATTCTATGGCCAACTAACCGACGCAGCCGCCTGTGCAAAATAAATCGGCCGTTTGATTTTATTGGCGCAAAATGTGAGCCGTTGACGGACGCGAGTGTAGATGTATCGTAGTTGAGCGCAGCGTGAGATGGAACAAAGTGCAACTGCTGAAACAAGGCTTAATCTAGTAAAAATTTCATTTCTATAGAAAATATTCTTCACTTCTCAATCTGTTTCAAGAGCTGAAGGCAGAAATGCTTCACGCTAGCTCAGCTGCTTGTCAGCAAGGATTGGGGAAATGGGGCTACCCCAGGAGACGCATTTCGATCACTTGACATCTCAGGCTTAATTTTCCGTAAGCGAATTCCGCATGGGCATCGTACTGAAACTGTAACCAAAAGTTTCTTGAGGATGCAAAGAAAATCACTTTAACTGCACGGGTAGTGGGGTCTTTATCGCACGGACGCGTTATCGAATACTGTATTTCGTTATTGCGCTTGAGTGTTTTTAAGCATTTCTTTTAAAAAAAGATGATGGATATTTCAAGTGTTTGTACCCATAAATTTTTATTGTGCTATTTATGAAACCTAGTCGAGCACTGCAATTTCCACAAGAAATAAAATGCGTATCATTATCTTTAGACCTGAACACTTCCCTATGTATTTTTTTTAAACAACTCCATCTCCTGGACGATGTTGCTTCTATCATTATACCAGTAAAAGTTTTGTAGGTAACAAATTACTTATTTGCAGCTTAACTATTTGAGGAGACCTCCTGAAAAAAATAGTTGCCTTTTGGGGCTATGTACCCCGTTGATTTGATATCGTTCCACCAATGGCGTATTTTAACACTAATCTCCTTTTAACAAATGATGCATAAATAGAGTATTTGCATCTACACATTTTAATGACGTTGAATGACTTCTCTTTAGCTAACTATTTGGCTATGACCGTTTAAAAAAAGCCTGCCTTTTGCTGTTGTGTACTCTTTTGACATGTTTACCTACTTTTGATTATTGGTATTAAAATTAACTAAAAACGGTAAGTTAGCCGTGTGCGGATCACTTCAGATTTTGTCCTGGTACCTCCCGCCGTTTGTATGAGGGCCGCCGCCCTCGTGCAGAACGTGTCTCACCCACACCCTCGATCTCAGAGGCGGAGCGAGAGCAAATCAAAGGGGTATACAGCAGCAGAGAGCAGGTTTATACAAATAGTTATCACGAAATAGTTATGCGTTAGAGAACATATCCGAAAGCGGAGGTACAAATAGCAGAAATACGATTACTTATTTAAAAAGAGCTTAAGGTAGTGTTGGAACACTCGATGCCATTGACTGGGCGAGACCAAAGAGGCAGACAGTAGCACAATGCAGATCTTTCCCAGGTGGTTGTCTTCAAATAATTATACCGCAATTCAGTCCTTTGTTACGTTCAAACATTGCTCTGCAATTGTCTTGGAGGACATGTTCTCAGCGAGACGGACTTATTTTGAATATAACGAACAGGAGCGAGCTCAAGTTTAAAGTGAATAACACGAATTTTATTTATTTTTTCTGTAATTTACGGAACTCTACTACTTTACATAATGAGAATCATTAGTTACTAACAGTCGAAAGGCCATCTCTGTGCGGAGTCTGCGCAGGCGCGGCGCTGCACCCAGTCGCGTGCGTAGGCGTAACTGCAGCGGCGAGCGGCCGGCCAGCGCCGACGCACGCGTGCGAGGCGTGAGCGCCCCGCACGCGCACGTCGGCCGCCCGCGACCGCCCTCGCAACGCACGGCTCCCCGGAACGAGTTGTACGCACGGAATTGCGCACGCGGTGGAGGGCCATTTGGAAGCCATCGGTTCGGTGGTACGATGCGGCGCGGCACTGCGTTTTAAACGCCGAGGTACGAAATCAGAAGTTGTCGTTGGTTTAGTTGGCGAAGGCGAAGCACTGAGCGAAATATCACCGGGTCACTCTTGCGCCTAAATTGGAATTTCGGCGTGTTCCTAAATACGAAGATTTAACACATCTGCGCGTAAATTGGAAAGTGATAGGAATTGCCACTTGGAAGTTGGATTGGAATTTTTCCAGCAGGTGAGTGTATCGTGAGTACTAAAGTGAGGAAGCGCGATAGATAACTCCGAAGAAATTCGCCACTTGGAAGTTGGATTGGAATTTGTCCAGCAGGTGAGCGTGTCGTGAGTAGTAAAGTGAGGAAGCAAGGTAGATAACTCAGATGAAATTCGCTTGGTGGATGCACGTCGATCGATGGGCAAATCCGCAGCTGTGGTTACGTGTGAGGGGGGCGCGGCACTCACACGGCGGCCCTCGCCAGCGGGCGGGCGCGGGACTTACCTTGGAACGGGTAACCGGCGAAGCAGGGGCGCATCGTTCCGAAGTTGGTCACTGTCATCTCCCCCCTGTCAGGCTGCGCGCCGGGGAACACGCGAAAGCCCACAGCTTCCAGCGGGGACGCGGGCGAAGCACTCGAGCCACGGACGAGGAGCTGGGCGGAGGGCGGCGGGCGGCGGACGGCGAGGGCGGTGTCCGGCACGCGGGGGGGGCGCGATATCGCACCGATCGAATCACCAAGCACCACGGCACCCGCTCGCTGCGTCCTGAGCCAGTCCTTCGGCGGCACCCGGTCGTCACAGCTGCGCACGCACGCGCGGAACAGATGCACTGCGGCGGGGCGGCGAAAAGGCGTCGGTGGCGCGCCGGGAACTCGAAGCGAAGGGAGGCACCTGCAGCACTTCCAGCGCCACCACGTCCTGCCGCCGACTGCGTTGCCTGGCAACTGACCCCTGCCTCCCCACGCCACCCGCACTATACGGCCCTTCCAGTCGCTTTCCCGAGCGCGCGCGCCGCCGGGGCGGGGCGAGCGCCCGGCCGGCGCCGGCCATTGGCCCGCCGCCCGCCTATCGCGGCGCGCCCATTATCATTGGGTGCGCGGTGCGGCCGCGCGGCCTATGGGCGCCGTCGACGCTTTTTGCGCTTCATTACGTGTTTTAAGATATTCTGGCCCTCGTCGTCATCTATTTTTAATAACATGCTGTCCCAGGGTGGAATGGAGGCCGCTAGTTGCACATGTGCTTTCGAGAAGAATTAAAACGCGAGTTTTTTTAAATAGTTGTTTTTATATTTAATTTCGTTACCTATTTGCGGTTCGGAACATTCGGTCTTACCGTGAAAAAAGTTTAGACTCTTGTATTAAATGCAGTGTCAGTGTGTGTTTACGCACTACGTTTTTGTCTCAATGTCTTTGGTCTTGTGCCGCTAGCTGCAAGTTGGACTCGGTCAAAGGTGGGCTTATGAGGATATACTGGATGCTTTGCGCCGAACGAAAAAAAAAGTTCGTAATTAAAAAACTCTACAAGCAATATGGAACTTAGAGCCAACATTTAAACAATACTTCAGGAAGTCAAGTCCTTGGCTAGGTATTTTAATTTTTTGTTTATGTTTGATAATGCACTAATAGTATCATCTGAAATAATATTTAATGTTTTGTTTCTAACGATAACTGTTGAGATTTCTTTTGACTTTGAAGTAAAAAAAAAGAAGAAATAATTAAAAAAAATAATTTCTTGTTCGTCGTGAAACACATCTTTCGTTACGCATTGGTTCTATAATTATTTTTAAAAGTTTAATTAGTTTATTTTTTCAATGATGTTGTACGTTGGTTCAACATACTTTGCCTACAACAATAAATGAAAATTGCACATTACCGCACCGTCGACAACAGAAAACATTTTTATGTGTAGCTACAAATTTTACTATTGTATTTAACGTATGTTTTCTCTTTTTTAACTGATATATATGGTCGACTTTAGGCAACATACACCTCGTATTTACAGAATGTAAATCAATTATACTTGTGGATTTTGAATATAAACATTAAAGTGTAGGTGGTTTTAAGCGACACCTTAACTTACTTGCAGATTTTAAAAGTATTAATTATTCATGATACATTTTTGTAACTTCTTACGTTCCTTTCTCAAGTAACACTTTTTTGGTAAATGTGTTTGTCACCGTACAATATAGAGAATACTTTTTAAAAAGCAATCTAAACGACTGAATCATTTACATAAATAATTTATTGAACAAACTATATTAAAGGAACTTGCCTCTACTCCAATACGTTTATGGTTGTAATATGAGAACCTTCCAAGTTTATGAGAACATATATGTCACATAAGGATCATATTTATGAGCAATAAAAGTACCCATGCAGAGCCTCTTCGAAGAGCTGGAGCCAGTTTCGAACTCTGAAATTTGAATCGGTCATTGAATGACATTTCCGGATTAGTCAGGATGATCTCATACCTTTCGTAATTGAAGTAGATATATTTCAATTTTAGAACTCGCTTCCTTATTCAGCTCACTCAAGGAGATTGCTTAGCCGTAATTTGCTTCGTTATTTGTGATAAATTCTCGTTCGAAGATTTGTTTGATCCAAAGAAGAGATAATTTGAATTTGTTTCATATACACTAACAAAGATAATTGAATTAAAAAAACTTCGCACAAGACCATTCGTGTCAGAGATTTGTTAATTCCTTCATTTTCAGATTTAAAAGTACAGAGTTAAAACATAAAATACAATTTTGTTTCGTAAAGTATAACTGATCTGTTTACTAGAATTTTCTGTTATGTATCATTATCTTTAAAAACGTATCATCTTTTTGTATCATTATCTAACCTTCATTTAATTCAAGTATATACTATTCGCGTACAATAAAATCGTAGTTGAAGTAATATTAAAAATATTTTTCTTAAATACCAGTCAGTATATTTGCAACTTTCGAAATTCCTTCAATAAAAAACAGCTATTCCTATTTTTTCCGTCAAACGGTTCGAGCTTTTGAGTTACGTTTCGGATGCATTGAAATGACGTGTGTAACAATATATTTTAAGTTTAGCAAGCATAATTTTCAATCTTTCTCTTTCTCAAATATCTTGCCAGTTTAGCCATCCGATTGCACTCTTACTCAATGCAATTTTTTGCAACTATTCGTCAGACTTGTCTTATCTCATTGACCTGGGTGTCGTATATTTGCCTACGAACCGAAGGAAGTGGGATGGTGGAGGCAGTTTGATAGAACAAGAAGATAATTAGAAATAATAATTTGTAACTTGTTAATTTAGTTTGCATATTTAGAAAATACATTTTATTTTCTTCAGTTCAGCATAAATTCAATGCATTAGAGTAATATTCGTGAACAATGCTTTGTATTTAAATCGGCCCATTGACGAGCAAGCTCGGCTAGCGAGCAAAACCGGCTTGCGCCGGATGTAAATCTGTGGCCGACGTTTTCTTTTCCATTGTGGGACGAACTCGCGAGCCGAGATTACTGCTATGTGAACCGCTTTCGTACAAAGGAAAAAATAATTGTTTGGTTTGCAATAGTGATATTTAATGATGAAAGTTAAATTCGTCGTAGAAAAATAATGAATTCACTTCACGGCATAGCCTCCAATAACTGAAGTCATTTTATCAAATGTAATCATTTAATGAAATGAGTTTTCAGCTCTTTAACTTCTACCAGTCTTTCTGTCCATTCTTACGTTAGTGCTTCTATTAATTCGGAAAGCAAGGAAGTAAACATAGAAGAAAGTTGAAAGCACATAAATATCTTGAATCTTAGAAGGAATTACATTCCATTTTTTAGATCCACCATTAACCAAAGTCGCCTATATTTTACACTTTTACTCTGTTGCTTTCTTCATCCCTTTCTTATGTTTTTTTCTTCAAATGTATGTGTTATAATGTATTAGCTTAAAGCGATGTTCTTTCTGTTTCCAAGAAGGAATTTTTTATTGAAATCATCAATTATTTTTGAATATTCGGGATTTGGGAGGGATTTGATTTGTGATATTTTTTTACTTCAACTATCTTTTCATTCTGTAGTACTGTCATACAATTAATAAAATAACTTATTATTCACTGTTGTTACTCCTTATTTATACACTTAAGAACACTTACTAACACACTTAAAGTATATTCTCCGTATTGTATTTTAATACCTAAAATCTAATTTTGCGTGTTTTGTTTGAACGATTAATTTTGTTTTATTTATTCGGCAAACATTTTTTGGCGTTGAGTGCATTTGACTCTTGATATGTAATTGTCTATCTAAACACATTTTGCGTTGACTACTTCAAACATATATTGCAGTCGTATGACATTAATATTAGTATTTCACGAGTATCAGGTTTGGTGTAAGGCAGGTGTAAGGTTTGGTGTACATTGTAGGTGATTTGCGTAAGGTTTTTATGTACTCGTTTGCTATTTTCTTTCTTTGTGCACACTTAAAAGTTCCTGCTCACGTATACTGCAATACATTTATCATAATTAGTGGAATATTAGTGGTCTACAGAGAAAAAATGTCGCTAAACAAAACCACGTAAATTTTCCAAAAAGTAGTACATACTCCTTGAGAACAGAATATTCAGTCCTCTCTTATAACACTTCTACAAATATTTGTATTTATTATTTTGACAAATACGTCTTCACGAGTACTACAATAACATGCATACGGATATTCAGTGCAACATTTCTTTACATTTTTCTTCTTTGCTATTTCCCTAATGGAGTTTTTGGCCTCCACCATTTTTCTTCTTTGCTATTTCCCTAATGGAGTTTTCGGTTTACCCAATTTCCAGGTTTTCAATTTCTGTCCTCCATGGCTTCTTTGTTGTACGTTGGTGTACCCCAGACTTGGCCTTCCTCTCTTCCTCATTGATGTTTCCAATTCCAGTGTTTTCTTCGGTCAGCTTCCTTCGGAATTCTCTGGACGAGTTCATACAACATAACACTGTTTGTTTTCTAATCTTTTTGTAACAATGGATTACTTCCGTCTGTTACCATACTTCCTCGTTTTGGATTTTCTCATGCCGTGTTAAATGTAGGCAACCTCTCATGTAGTCCGTTTCCACTGTCCTTATTTTGGTTATATTTTATTAAGTTTGGGGCCACATTTCTCCTTCATAAAGTACTCTATTTTCTATACAGCTACGGAATATTCTTTTCTGTATTTCTTGTCATTGCCATTCCATATCACTCTGTACACAGTTTCAAAAAAATTCCTAATCCATAATGGAATATGTGAATAGCAAATATTTAATGGTGGATGTCCTCGAAAACTTGCTGTCGAATAAACTATCTAACACCTCTAACATGACCGAAGCTGTGAAGTTTTCCATCAATTTATGCGTGTTTTCAAAATTGCGAATATAGATTTTTACTTTCTCTATCCAAAGATCAAAACTCAGTGAAATGTCTGGAATACTTGTTACTACATTCGCAAATATTTACAAAAGACATTCCAGGAGATATATTGGGAGTTTTTTTGTTTTGTTTTTGAACTCAAGATTCTTGAATTTAAAAAAGAAATATTTCAATCCCAACAGAATATTTAGGTATTTCCTCAAACGACTTCCGAAATTTATAAGGCATGTTACGTGCGACATCTTGTAAATGTTTATTCGAACAAGTCTGTACTCATCATTCTTTAAAACGATGCCGAAGATGTCCAGCTAAGATGAGAATTAAACAGGGAGCTGGAACCGCAGGGAATAAGGCGAACTCTGAACACTTCCTTTTTACTTTTCAACACGTGCCCCTTTCGAATGAATAAATAAGAAACGAAAGTATTTCGATTTTCATTATTAGCCAGATTATAAAGTATCATGTAAATTTTTCTCGTAATAAAGTAAAATGTTCTTTTTTCTTTTTAAAAAGATTTGGGAACCAAATTCCCATTCCAAGATCAAAACTGCTCTGTCCACCTTTACCAAGGCATATCACCCTCTCTGCCACCCTTAGCTCTATCTAAAAGAGCGATCTTTCAAAGCTGTTGATTGATACTTTCCTTTTGCCATAATTTCGTGGTGTCCATGGTTCGCTTGTAAAGCAAAGTGGGGGTTTCGATAGCACATTGTGTAATTTTTTAGTAATTCACTAATCAAGTAAGTAATACACTATTCAATATTCTGTTTCTAAAATACCTTTTCATAACTCTATTCAACTTGTATACCTTGTAAACACAACTTGTAAAATTCAGTTTAGACATGTTCTTTCTTTGCAATTATCTTTGGAGATAGTCAAAATAACTACATAATGGCTGTTAGTTGTTTAATGAATAACTCTAGAATTTGCGATAGCCCCATAATTCATTAAATGTTTCATATATTTACGAGATATAGGGACAAATCGTGTTTGTTTTATTCTTTTGTTAAATTTTAGATGTTTCATATCCGTTCACGTTAACTCATATTTCAATTTTCTTCCGAATATTTAATGGATTTTTTGAAGAGTTCCGGAATGTTTCAAATCCTGTGCTCTATCAAATTCATCACGATTTCGGTCTTTCTACGATATCATAAGCTTTGCATTAACATAGGAGAAGATTTTATAGAGGAATAATGTATTATCTTTGTTTCTTTAATAGTTGTTACGAAGTGAAAGTTGCATCATAACAACTTCCTTTCTCACACCTTTTCCTGAAGGGTATTTTCCTAAAGGCACAAGTGGCAGTCTCACTACCTGCGCCTCGTAGCCGGAGGTTGTCAACCTACACAAGAGAAATCATTATAGTACTCAAAAGGCACAGAAAATTTGCCGAACTACCCCAAATATTGACAATGGAAAGAAAACATCAAATAATATATTATTACAGAAATACGTTACAAAATAAAAGTTATACCATGCACAATTAATGGAATTGCCGTTGTAAAATTATGAAGTATAAAATTATTAAAAGGCATAGCAACAAATCATTGCTTATTATTTACTGGGAAATTAAATCTACACGTGTTGTTTACAAAATAATTGTTTTTACTGAAAAATCGCAAACCAATTAATGCGCAATTCTGGTGCTCCTTCGGAGTTCCTTTCCACCTTCATACTCTTTTAACAACAAAAATCATCAGAAATGTAATACATTATGGAAATAAGTAATGATATATTACATGTAGTTACTAATGAACTAGGTATTTATCTGACCTTTATAATAAAGCATATAGAATACCAACAGAAATAGACGGTCAAAGAACGATAAGGTCATTTTCAACGTTAAACTAAAGGAAGTCTAAAATTACTATATAACTATTTTCTTTCTGGTATACACTGTATATTAAAATGTATACAATACTTATTACCAGCAGACAGTGAACATAACATTCATGATAGTGAAGGTCTGACAGGTTATCCAGAATTTAGGAATTATGGTATATTATCATTAAATATACAAGAGCACGTTTCATAAATCTTGTGGAAAATAATAATCAATCTTCAACGAAAAATCATTGAGAAGTGTCTTTTAGAGCAGTTGTATTCTTTCTTTTTTTAAAAATCACGAAAGAAATGTTGATATTTACAAATTTATTTAGTGCATGATAATACATAATTCAGGCATTTTCTATATGAGATGTTGGCTGGAAACGAGTATAATACAAACCATTTACAGACATTGACAATAGTGCAGTGCAATGATGGATAAAACTCAGTTGAGCATCTCCAAATGAATTAAATCGCACGAGACATTTAGGTGACATGTGAGAAAAGAGTAGATAGGGCAACAGTTTCTAGTAAGTGTTAGAGTTGGGATCTGCAATGTCCACTTGGAACTACGAGAATACACAGGGGGTCTGTATCATGTCAAAAGAGAAGGAATCAGAAACCAGCGAAAAAGCAGTAAAAATGTCGTGAAAAGGTAAAAAATGAGTTATTAGTCGAAATCGACGAACAATGCGAAATAAATGACATAAAAATGGGTCATTTCGTTTCGTCATGACACAAAATGAATTTCTGTATTAAACGGCGTTGTTCTAAAGTAAAAAGAAAAAAAGGACATTTAAAATCCGCTCCTACGTATGTCCATTTGTACTATTTAACAACAGCCATATCTACCATGCTCGCTTTTCACACGGGATGTAACGCGGATGCTGTGCTCGTTTGTCGGCAGGAGGAAGTAGCCGCCCTGAGCTCGGAGCCGCTGCCGAGGGACTCTGGCGAGACTTGCCGCCCGCGTCCCGCCCGACCGCCAGCCACACAAAGTAAGCGAGCGAACTCCGAGTTTTTTAAACAATTTGTTTATTTGTTTTACGAATATACATCGGCCAGCCTTTTGCCTCTACGGATGATTGATGACTCATTCTCGCCTTAAAAGAAGTGAGTGGGGAAACTCATCGAGCACCGCCAGAGAATCACTGGGAGATGATATAAATTGCTGAGGTTATTTCTTGTGAATCAAAGGTAGAGAAGGTGTATATCACTGTATTTTCGGGGTGAAGGCAACTTTTACGATTTATAATAGGACGAAGTTCATGGAGTTTCTAATTGACTTGATTAATTTTTATTTCTATATGATCTTTCCTGGTTATTTTGCATATCAATAACGACCTAGATATCTGACTAATGAAATGAATGAGGAACTGAAGAGATCTTTAGCTGTAATGGGTGAGGATGGCGGTGATTGAAAATTTTTGCAAATAATTTTGAGGGATTGAACATGATTGTCCGATTCGCAGTCCATTGTTCGCTTTGGAGTGTCTGTGAAGTCGGTAAGCCAGTGTGTTCAGACAGTCGGTCAGCCAGTGTGTGGACTAGAAAGAAATAGAGAAGTGTCATTTGCAAATTGTGCTGTGGGTATGTCGGCGGTGAAAATGTTAGAGTTGGAGAAAGAGGAGAGCCTTGTGGAACCCCTGCGACAATTGGACGAGGGTTAGAAAGGTTGTGCCTGTAGTTTTACTGAAAATGGATGTGAACATTTCTGCTCACAAGGGGCGTTTTTTCTTTGAACCCGGTAATAGAAAGCTACTAAGTCAACTTTTTTCTGAAAATGAGATAATTACAAGTCTCTAACCCTTCACTACATTTGTGACTACTCAGACATCATATACTATTCATTCTAGTTGCAGAGTAGTGTATTTACGAGCTTAATGTAAATATCATAAAGTAACAACCAGATAAATCGAGATGTATGATTAATGATTACTAACGTTATAACAATGGTTAGAGAACATTTATTAACACGAAATAAGTTGAATTGTCTGATTATTCACGCAGAAAGATCTATTCAAATGAGCACACAATTTCAAGATACACTGCTTTCGTACAAAAGTTATCAGATTAGAGGGGACAAAGATACAAGGTTCATGCAACAACAAACAAATTTATGCATATAAATTAATAATGTAGCAATACGACATTAATGTAATAATATAACAATTATTAATAATATAACATGTTTGTGTTCTATATCTTAACTTTTCATACAAGCATTTCTTTAATGAACCGATGTGGCAATAATACCATTCACGTTTTCGAAGTCACATCTCACACCTTAAGGATGCAATTGTGAAAAACGTGCCATCCTTTTTGGATTTTCAAACGTGATCTCACAGCAGATCACATTTACGCTTCTTCCGCAAACTCCACGTGGAGACATCACAGTCACGCACTCCCTCACTTCTTCTGCTCTGCACCAGGCGTGAAATATTTGAACACAATTTCCGTAGGCCATTGGACACAATTTCCGTCCAATGGCCTTGTACACATTTTCTCTCACTATATGGGGTTTTTCAATTTTCCATTTATTTATAATTATTATTCGATATCGATCCAGATATCCTAAAATGTAGGTACCACTCATTTTTTATTAAAGAATATTTATTAGTTATTTATGATGCGAGTGGTAAGTTGCGTTATATTTTGCGACAAGGAAATGCTGTGACACGACGCCAACAGGTCGGATGAAATCACTTTTTACGCGTGTGCCATGCACTATTTTTTAGACAGCTTA